AAAAGAAATGAGTGAACTACTCTGAAAGGACATTTAGGTCCATGTCTATGGGGGTGTCAGAGAGAGGAGGGAAGAGCGGCACGGTCACAGACACATTTAGATATTCCACTTCTCTTTGTGATAATGAGAAACTGCACTCTCAGCTGGTAAACACAAAAGCTGCATCACTGCCGGCGTGTCAGGCGGCTGGGTCTCTGAGAGCCTCCGTGTGGCTCAGTGGGACTTACAGACTGCAGCGCGGCAAGTATGGAGGCCAAAACTGTCCGCTTTCTCTACGGCCAGCGTTGCAAAGGTAGGAAAGGATGCCTGCGTGTTGTTTTCTCAACTCAAGACAGGATTCATGCTCCTCTGCGTTGGCAGACTGCAAAGTGAGCATTAATCTGTCAGCACGGCTTCAGTGCGTGTGTGTCAGTGCCCTTGATTTTTTTTACCTACATATATGTGCGTGTGTTTTGCAGAGGTCTCGTTACCCGCAGTGGGCAGCCCTCTCCGGGGGATGTTTGTGTTGCCAGTGATTGAATGTGGTTTCTCAGTGTGTCTGCATTGAGAGCACTCTATTAATTTGAGGCCAGACCGGAGAGCAGCCGCGGTGCATGGAGTGGAGGAGGAGAAGGGATGGAGGCAGGAGGAAAAATGAAAAGTGATAAGCGAGGATAAATGGTTGCCTCTGGAGATGAAAGAGGATATCGGATATCTTTCACACACACATATGATTAGAGTTGGCTGTAAACATGATGATGCACGCTCATGAAGCCAAGTCTCCCGGCTCCAGGTGTTTCTTTTTTTTTTCAGTGGTAGGACACGTCTGGCTAGTTGTGTTATTTCTGCTAATGATAGTCCTGCTTTACCCCTTGTCATAGCTGTATCCCTTGTTGTAAAGTTAATAACATACCATTAAGGAGAAAATAAACCTTTATGTCAGAATTTCAGGAGGTAAACATAAAATACAGTGCAATGAATCATGTTCCCTCGTATATTTATCCTGTTTGTCCCTTTTGTTTTTGTCACATTTAAATATTTCAGATATTCACACAAATTTAAATGAGAATAGAAGATAACCAAAATAATAAAAATACATTTAGCATAAAACTGTTTTTCCAAAGCCCTGGTGTGTTAGATTTACTCCCATCTAGTGGTGGGCTAGAGGAATTGCAAACAAGAGAGAAGCTTGCTCTGGTGCCGTGCCGTTAAACGCGTAACAACTGCTACGGAAGCGCAGAGTGTCATAAACATGACGTCAACGTCCTAAAGGCTAATGCTACGTTCATACCGCAAGCAGCAGGAGCGGCAAAAACGCGCATTCTGCTTAATTTTTGATGCTTGTACAAGTTTAGTTGTAATTTGCTGATCTCTAGCTGTGCGGTCGAAAAGTGGGTCTGATGCGGGTTGGGCGGACATACCGTATCCTTTCTTTGCCTGTAACAATGATAGCTATATTTGCTGTGATCAGTGGGTAAAAAGTAGTTTTAATATTTTTTTTAAGTGAGAAAGTCCTGAAAACTTCATCTGTGCAGTAGGGATGGAACGGTTTATGAAAACCGCCCGAACTGTTCGGTTCGACTGCCTCGGTTCGGTTCGTGTGAGTTGCGTTCGGGTCACGCGCTGCTCCATTTTCTCATAGGTGAAGCGTTTACACTCCAGAGCAGAAGTCGGCAGTACTGCGACCAAAGCCAACCACCAGTAGTAAACAAGAAGAAGAAGAAGCGAAGCAGCGTAGACGGGTGTGGCAGAAAAAAATCAGTTGTTGTGGAGAATTGTGTGGGTATGGCGAGTGGGAAAGAACAGGAGTTGGAAGACGCGCCAGCAGCACTTTATAGGTCTGCTGTATGGGACCACTTTGCATTTAGAGTGACCTACGATGATGGCTGAAAGAAAGTCGTGGATAAAAGTGCAACAGTGTGCAAGCATTGTGCAACACGTTTTGTTAATGCTAACAGCAACATGACCAACATGTCATGCTAACCCCGAAATCCCACATACTCCGTCAGCACTCCGTTCCTGTGGCTCCCATCCGCTCCGCTCTGAGTTCCTTGGAGATCGTAGAGGGCATGCGTGAGATGATTAAATTCAAAGCAGCAAAACATGCGGAAATGATCCAGGGTTTCCGAGGATCATTAAAAATAATTAAAATTCATTAATTTTTTTTTATTTTTTCATTAATTTCATTAATTTTTATGGGATTTTTGGTGTAACAATCAACATACACCGAACCGAAAACTGTGACCACGAAACCGTGAACCGAACCCTGGATTTTGTAAACCGTTCCACCCCTGCTGTGCAGTCAGTTCATCCAGATTACGATCCTGCCTTCAAATATGAATTCTCTGTGTGAGCCGCTCAGACCCCGTACATCGGCGGTACGCTGTCAGTCGGAATCCCATTCAACAGCATCCTCTGGCACTGTTTTCTCTTCACGGTTTTCCGCTACTGTTCGCAGTGGCATGAAGGTATTTTTCACATACGTAATCCAAACGGCAGGCACCAGAATGATAAAACCCAACATATTTTACCTGCAGGTTTCGACATTTTAAGTTAATTTAGGTGTTAATAAACTGTTTCAGGAGAATGCTAATAGTGCTCTGCATCAGCAGTGCTTTGTCTCCCTCCCTGCCAGCTCCCAGATCAACTTCGCTGATTGGTTGAAGTGGCGCGTCGAGTAGCAAAAATGTTACATTTTTCCAACCCCAGCAGCTGAAGCATCAAACGCGTCAGATCCTCCAAAACTCATGACTCGCTGCTTCAGCTGCTGAGACGCACTGCTCCTGCTGCTCAAAATAAGCATGCCTTGATGTGCGTCAACCATTGCATGTAAACTAGCTGTTTCTGCTGCTTGCAGTCTGAATGTAGAATAATAGTTAATAGCTACAAATGCTGCTGGTCAGACTTCTATCGCAATCTGACCTATTTCTGTTTAGCATTGGATACCAAACAAGCTAGCTGTTTCTGCCAATGGCACAGAGTAGTTGCAGGACTACAATGCCATCTTTTTAACATAACGCCCAAAACTTCACTAATATATTGAATTATCTTATCTGTCCAGCTTGTAATGAAAGCTTCGTATAATTTCTGCTAAGCAGAACCTCTGCAACCTCCGTGTGTTTTCAAACTCTTCTTCTTTATGAATTGCCTCCGAATGGTGAAAGCTACGATGATGTATGCTCTGGTTATCACTGGAATGTTCTCCGTTTCATCAGAAAAAGCTAAACAATCTATGGTTGTCTTTGTTTCATACTACTTCTCCGCCGACAGCATGTCCCCATATACAGGCAAAACACGCAAGGCTAACAAGTTTGTCCCCTTTCAGCTACCATAATCAAAGATGGCGACTTCTATTGCCTGCACCCCCGTCTGTGTATTTAGAAACTATTTATACTAAGCTTTGGTAACAGTTTAATTTTTTATGCCATTGTAATTAGACTTTGGAATGATATTTATTCATAAAAGAAGTACTTGATTTTTACCAATAGAAAGCCCAATTATACACTGTCCCTTTAACTGTCATTAAACTTGGGCTCACCAGCTAAACACATATAGAACTATGTACTGACATTTAGACACAGAAAATAAGTTGTGTAGAACCTGTCTATCAACACGAAGTAGGCTTAATTAGCTAAAAAAAAAAAAAACACCATGCTACGATATACAGATATTCAAGAACAGCTATTGAGTCAAAGTCAATAGCTACGTTTACATGCGCAAAATTTCCCCAATCCGATCCAAACCTTGGTTGATCGGAAATTCAAAATCTCCGTTTACATGGACACTAAATGAAATGATCCGATCATGACGTGTGTATACATGTACCAAGCGTTGGATCAGATTAAATCTTTTAAGCATGCGCAGAACTTCCTGCCAAACTTGGCAGTTCTGTCTGCGTCTGGTTTTTGGGAGGCCTGACAAACGATGCGCTCAGAGCGAGCGGAAAGAAAAAAGGAGAGAGGAGGAAAAAAGCGCTTGGCAGCGAAATGTCCGAGAGAAAATGTAGAGAATGAGCGATTGAACCGGCGTGGGAGAGCGAGTGGGCTGTGGAGAGAGAAAAGAGGAAGAGGATAAATTCCTGCTTCCTGCAGCTTTAAATGAACTTGAGTGTATAAGTCGGCGTTCCTAGACTCCTCCCGCCATGTTGTTCACAACAAGAGCGAGAGCGACCGGTGGTTTCCTGTTGTTGACAAGGCGGAAAAACGTCACGCTGACGTCGCACACATGCGCAGGGAAGATTATTTTACTCTTAAGATCCGAATGGGTGTTTACATGGACGCCAATCAGAATGGCGATCGGCAAAAACCACCTCTCTCTTTCGGAATTAAATTTATTACCGATCGGACCGAATCGGATTAGAATCTTCAGTCTGACATGTTTACATGAAACATTTTTGATCTGATCAGGCCTTCAATCCGATTAGTTGTGTCCATGTAAACGTAGCTAATGATAATCGGGTTTGGAGACAGTTACAAATCTGTTTCCAATTACTGCTAAATCACAGTGAACGCCATTATCAATAAAAGGAGTCAAATGGAACAGTGTTGATGTTTGAAATGTTTTCAGAAAAACGGAATTTGTCTTTTTGTGGTTGAGCAGGGAAATCTGCTTTCAACACATCGGTTCTGATGTGAAAAAAACCCTGACTTTTCTTAAAACAGATGCATTTAAACAGATGCGTTTTGGTGTGACCTATTCATTCCAGACAACAAAAAAATAAAAAAGATCCCTTAAAGAGCCAGTTTGTGTTCAAACATCCTCCAGGGTGGCTTAAATCAAACTATTTTGAAAGGATGAGCCAAACTCCCTATTTTCTTACTGTTGGAAAATTATTTTGTTTCCTCATAATACGTATTTTCGTAATAGGTAACATTTATATTCAATTAAATGTGAAAAAGGAAAGAAAAGCAAAAGACTTCTACTTTCTTAAAAAAAAAAAAAAAAACTCTTATATTGCAGCTACCACAACAAAGTTGGCAAAGAGTTTTAGTTTCACAACCCTCTTCTCTCCACCTTCGCAGAGGTTCGAGCCCAGTTGGTGGAACAGCTCAAGTGTCTGGACCAGCAATGCGAGCTTCGGGTTCAGCTACTTCAGGACCTGCAGGACTTCTTCAGAAAGAAGGCCGAGATCGAGATGGACTACAGCCGCAACCTGGAGAAACTGGCTGAGAGGTTCCTCACAAAGACACGCAGCACCAAGGACCATCTACTAAAGTAAGCACTGGAACAGTCAATATGTTTGCACTCAATTAAGCAGAGCAGCAGGTTGATGCTTTGCACACGTAGATGTGTGCCAAAAATAGCCAGTCTCCTTATTTAGCCTTTTTGAGCAACATAATGTTGAACAAACTGCTGGCTTCCTTCCTGAGACAATACAGAAGTAGAGGCAGCAGGCGAGGAAATGAAACCAAAGGAAACGCACAGAGAGGTGACTGATGTCCTAATAATGCTGCTGAATTTCTAACCTAAATCCTGCATTACTCCCTGGATTAGATTTACCAAAAACGAAATATAGAAAGTTCAGGATCTTTAGCCTATAGGTACTTTTCCTTTTGAATATATTTATCTTCCTCTGATTGCACATAAGAGTCCGAATCTGCTGCCAAAAAGGGGCAGGTAGGGTTTCTATGCTGTGGCTGTTTCATAGCTTTTTGTGGTATGGGGAAATTTGCTCCAACATGGGGGCCTTTTTCAGTAGAATCTGTGACTTCCATTTCTATTTTGTTTTTTTTTCCCTTCTGCAGGATAGGATATAAGAGATGCACTTTAAAATGCACAAGTTTATGCAGATTCAGTTTGTCTGGCAGTTTTTAGTAGGAGAGAGCAGGCTGTTGCCCTATGGGAAGTGCTAGCTAATCATAAACCACATGCACACACAAACCTGGCAGAGCTGCTGCAGATAAAGGAAGCTGGGCTTTTACTGTCATATCTGCATCTAACCCCTATGACTTTTCACAAGTGACAGTGATAAAAAAACCCACAACACCTTTGTAAATCGCATGTTAGCAGAGCGGCTTTGCAACTTATTTAGACAATCGGTCTTTGTCAGACACGTGACTGACACGCCCCCTAGCGCCATTTTTGTGGTGAGCGGAAGAAAAACAAAACAGCAGAAAACAAGAGGAGAGCGCTGCCAGCAGTGAGGATTATCAGTTAAATGGAAAAGAACAAGAAAACTGAACGGATACCCTACCCAGACAAACTTTCTAAAGCTGCTAGGGAACGATATTATATATTATTATTACAGTGACAAGGCAGATGTTGTGGGCAGTTGCACAGATAGCTGCAGTTATTAGAGTAGATTGTGCTGCTCATCAGACTGAACGAAAAAACTTGTCATAATTTTTGCACATTGATAAGTTGCACACTGTATTTGCTGTTCACTTTATCCAGGCCTGTTTTCACTGGGATCTGCAGTCTTCTTCACAGATATCACCTGTTAGGTAATATCTCTACGGAAGACCACAGACCACAGTGAAAACAAGTCCAGGGAAAATGAAAATCTTCTAATTCAATCTAAAGAGCAATCTGCTATATACGAGGGAGGAAGACAAAGTAAAACATTTGAAGCTTTGCACTGTTCTGCATTATTTATGTATTTGAGATTTTGTATTGCATTTTCATAAATTCTCTGCTTGATTGAAAAGATAATAACAACACTTGTTTCAAATTTCAAATCCACTCTTTATTGTACACACATTTTTACAACCTCAGAAACATTGTTAATATTTGAAGTGATGGTGAAACTTATATTTGTTTTGCTGTTATTTTTCAAAAGTAACTTTAAAAAAAGCAAAATTCTATTTGTGTGAAAAGAAGAATAAAAAAGAAGAAAGTTGAAACAGTACTTGATCTGGCATTCATTTATTAGCTGGTTTCTCTGTGAAAATTTCAAAACAGTCGATAATCACTGTGACTCTATGTCCAAAGGCATCCACAAACTGATGAGGCATAATTTTGTGCAAGGTGTCTCTATCTGGCCACACAATTGCACGCTTTAGATTTGCATATAAAAATGACAGCATTTCATTGAATGTTCTGTACACTGTCTTTGGTGAAACACAGAAGAGATAAGCAAGGTGTTTTGAGGGCAGATCCAATCTCAGACGCATGAAGGTTAACAGAAGCATTTGAAATGGACTGAGAATTTTATTTTGAGCAGACATGAGAGGCAGCAGAAAATTAAACAAAGCCATAAAGGTTGCCAAGTTTGGTAGACCCGTATAGTACTGGACTTTTTCATTACTGTCTCCAAAGAAGCCATCAGAGATCCGCAGCTCATCAAGTTCACGCCGCAGCTCTCTGTTTTCTTCCAAAAGACGGTTCATCTCTGCACACCTGAGCACACACAGGTTACATTCTGTCTGTCCTTCCTGACGACCACCTTCTGTGTCATCCTTGGTGTTTGGCCGGCCAACGTTTTCAGCAGCCTTCTGCGTGTCAGTCTGTTGCTGGTTAGGGTTCTCTGTCGCCTCATGTGTAACTTCATCCTGTCGCTGAAGGATTTCATCAGCCTGATGGAGCCCCGTTTCAGTTGCTTGCAGGGCATTCTTTTTCAGCTGTTCCCGATAACCACGTCTTAAAGAGCGGTCTGTGTCTGTTGGTTTGATGTCAGTGTGGCCCAGATGCAGGGATGGAGCCCAGTCTGGGTCAGTTTCCATCATCTCATATGCGGGTTGACCTGCAAAGTAGATGAAAGGTTGAGTGTTTTACACATCTATTCAAAACACTATATAAAGCACCTTAATAACAGAGCCCATTAGATTAGATGAGTTATAAAATAAGATATGCTTATGTTTCCCACAGTGGGGAAATTTGCTATTTGAAACAGCACAAGTACATCGGACTAGTAAGGCCAGAGGTAAATAAATAAACTGAAAAGCTTACAGGACGAACAAAGGATTATAATAAATAAACTTAAGTAGATTGCACAGGATGAATAAATGCAGTGAGTTGGCTGACGAGTGGGTATGTACAGTGTTTTTATATGTACACTGACACACTAATACTATATATTTATTCATAAAAAAAATATATTTGTATTGCAGATTGTGTAAATGATTATATACAGATAATGCATTATTTATTAAATTTTAGCGGTCTAAAAAAGAAATAAAACAAACATCACTTTCCGCTTCTCTTCCACAGCATGTTTCAGTAGGTTTACATGAACTCCTGCAACTTTATAAGCAAACCATTTCAGCGTGTTGATTTCTATTAGTGTATATTTATAAGGACTTACCTTTGTGAAAATGCCGAGAGCAAACACGAGCATGAGGAGATATTTTATGAAACGTGATGTCTTTCCTTCTTACAGCAGCGACCCACGGAGCCCGACACCTCTTTGTTAAGTCCTCTGTCTGCGGTCCGTATTTTTTTTCCAAGTGGGGAATACGAAAAACCGTACGGCCCCATCTGCTGTTTTCTGTTTAGAATTACTATTGCATCCTTTGACGCAGCACCAGTGTCCCATTATTTCCACAGAAGCAACTAGAACACGTCTGCTCTCTGTTAGTTTTCTTTTGTTTGTTGCTGCTGTCTCTTCCCCACAGAAATGGCGCTAACTACCCTAAATGAATTGCGCTTTTGCGGAAGTGACGTACACTGTCACAGACAGATACCCCCGAAAACCGAGACTGAGCCGATACCAAGACCAGCCCCCCATACTTGGCGTCACAATAAAATGTGAAACATGATCAAAAGTCCTTTTCAGGTCAATCAAGGTTTCACATTAAGATTTAAAATATAAATCTCTCTTTCTCTATTTTATACTCTTCACTTTTTTAATCAAATATTTGATTAAAATATAGTCAAGAAATGCACATGTTTGGTTAAAGGTATACTATGCAACCGCCGGTGTTGATTTTCCAGCGAGGCTCCCCCCAGAGGGCGAAAGTAAAAGTGCACTGTCGTAAATATACACAGCTGTTCTCCTGGTTTCTCCGTCAAGCCAGGCGCGGTTGTTTTGAGCTTAGCAGACAGGCGAACGCAACGAATGACTAACACAGTGAAAGTATGAACATGCACACAGAGAGAGAGAAACCATTCCAATGTTACTTACAATCGCATCAGCAGAAACGCGAGGTCCGCGTCAGCCTTGCAGCCTTCTTTTTATTTTAGCTCTCGCAATTCGGAAAAAAGCTTGCCCGATGTTCACCCGTGTACGACTCCTCTCTCTGTCCGGAGCCCTTTTCCTCTTTCTTGCCTGCTCCGACATGGGCTTTCGCTGTTTTCACGCTGGTTCCGCCATGATAACTGCACAAAGATCGCCACTGTGCTAGCAACGAGCATGCTTTTAACTGGGGGCATGTATCAGTTCTCGCCGTAAAGCAAGACCGACTCTCGCGAGACTTCTGAGCCTGTGGGTGCGGGCCGAGGGCTCCTGCAATTGCAAGTGCGGTATTTCCCCCACAGACCACCAGGGCGGCCGAGAATACCTTTGTTCAACCTGAAATGACTCATTTAATCATCCAAAACGTTATGGAACACATTAATTAACTGAAAAATGTTGCATAGTGTGCCTTTAATGTTACGACTTTATTCTCGTAATTTTACGTGATTATTCTCGTAATGTTACGACTTTATTCTCCTAATGTTACAATTTTATTCTCATAATGTTATGATTTTGTTCTTGTAATTTTACAACCTTATTCTCGTAATGTTACGACTTTATTCTCGTAATTTTACGACATTATTCTCATACTGTTACAACTTTATTCTCCTAATGTTATGACTTTATTCTCGTAATTTTACGACTTTATTCTTATAATGTTATGATTTTATTCTCGCAATTTTACAACCTTATTCTCCTAATGTTACAAGCAGTAAAAATGAAGCAGCAGACGCGATTTTGCTGCTTTTGCTGCGTCCAGTGTGAAAGCAGCGCTGCACAAAGATCGCCACTGTGCTAGCAACGAGCATGCTTTTAACTGGGGGCGTGTAGCAGTTCTCGCCGTAAAGCAAGACCGACTCTCGCGAGACTTCTGAGCCTGTGGGTGCGGGTCGGTGCTCCTGCAATTGCAAGTGCGGTATTTCCCCCACAGACCACCAGGGCGGCCGAGAATACCTTTGTTCAACCTGAAATGACTCATTTAATCCTCCAAAACGTTATGGAACACATTAATTAACTGAAAAATGTTGCATAGTGTGCCTTTAACTATTTTGCCTCCTTTTCTAAATCGCATAATGAAAGTTAGCTAATCACCTTAGTGTTA